ATATGAAAATTAGCGTAATTATAGGAAAACAAGGAAATTAGTATGTCATAATTTGATATAATATCTAATAGTTATTTTAAAGAAAATATGAAAGTGAAAATTACACAAAATCATATTTTAACTATTCAACCTTCTAAAATTAGACCCAAGGCTTCATATTTCAATAATCAGAAACTTTATTTTAATCAATATTTTTATAATTAAAATAAATATATTACTAATATACTCCATTATATAACATTACAAACCCTAATTATCTCTATCAACATTTCTTTATTCTCTCTATATCCCCAAGACGCAGCCATCGCCGGTCGTCAATCACCATGAAGACGCCACAATCGCCTATTTTTCATTCTCTCTCTCTATCCCCCAAGAGGTCACCATCGAAAACAACCCAACTCTGAGGATCGGATTAGCGACCAGTAAGATCTGCGCCGCGACGCTCAGTTCGCGCGACGCTACTGCTTCCCCGATGACTTCATTCCACCGGTGGTGCACTGTGATGATGGTGGTGGCCGCGCATTTGTGTTATGTGTTTGGGTTGTGTTGATTGTGGTTAAGGTGGGGGTGATGGTTTCAGGCAGTGGTGGGTGGTGGACCGGTGATGGTACCATCCTCAATGGTGCTGAAGTTTTTAATTTTTAATTTTATTTTTTTTCATTTGATCTGTTTAGTTTAGTTTTCTCGTGGTGGTTGGCATTTTTGGAAATAGTGGTGGTGGTTGAGTAGATGACGGTGTTGATGCAATTGGTGGTTGTGATGGTTATGATGGTGTTGGAGGTGAAATGTGCAGCGTCGTTGTAGTATTTTGGTAGTGGTGGTGCGGCGGTTGCGATGGTGGTAACGATGGCGGCGACAGTGGTGTGGTGCTTGCAGGTTGCGATTGTGGTGGCAGTGTAGTAATGAAGTGTTTGTGACCCATTATTTGGGGGTTAGTGATCAACTGTCGAGAGTTAGTGATGGTGGTGGTGGTTGTCACAAACTATTTGGTTGACTGTGAATATTAAATTGATTAATTTGTGATCAATTAAAAATATAAATTGTGACCAGAAATTAACATGTGACAGAAGAAATTGTTAATTTGTTATCAATAATTTGATAATTTGTGATTGTATAATAAGTCGTGATTTAAAAAATTTGTGATTTGTGATCAATAAATAAAAAATGTGATTTATAATTTTTTTTAATTTATGATCGATGAACAAATTGTAACCTACAAAATTTTCGAATTGTGATTGTAAAATAATTTGTGACATAAAATTTTTGATTTGTGACAAAAAAAAATAATAACTAAATAACTAAATCATTAATTGTGACCAAATTGTTTTGATATATGAAATTTAATAAAAATTTGATTTTTTAAAGTTTGAAACTTGTTTTTTTAATTTTGAAACATATGATACTTAAACTCTTATGAAATTTTCTCGATATGAAATATCAGATATTTCAGTCCACAAATTTTAGATATATGGCCCAGCCTAATTCTCTTAAAAAGACCAGGTGAAAAAGGAAGTACAATATTGTAAGCCCACCTGTATCTCTTGTACAGTTTCAGCCCAATTTAGCTTTCGGCTTTTGTCAACTACTTGGACCATATATATATTCCAACAAAATTTAAATAAACAAAAAATTAATTAAGTTGACAAAATATAGGAATAAAAACGTAAAAACTAATGATGTAGACCGATCGTTTGCATCTATTTTATTTTAATGCATTTTTAGAAATTTTAATTTTTTCCAAATTCAGTTTTTTAAGAATTTAAGAGTTTATTTTTCAATTTTTTTATTTTTCTAGAATTTTATATTTTTACTTTAAAAAATTATTTAAACACATATTTTCCATATTTTGAGTGTTTTGATCATTTTCACTAAAAATATACGTTTTTGAGTTTTCGATGTTATATATTTAACTTTATTTTCGAAAATGCATTTTAAAAATATCAGACAACAAATTTTGGGCATTTGTTAAACTAAAAATTGAAAACAGTTTGAAAATATAAAACCAAACTCACCCAAAGGGAATGCTCCTATTCTGTAAAAGGACGACTATCACACCATTGACAACTTGTTATAAAAATTTACAAACAGAGATCAATTTAGACTACTATGCTTCCTTAGTCCGTGGTGGGTCTTATCTATTTTATTGGTAGAGATGGAGCCAGACGTTTAGTTTTGTGGGGTCAAAAATTGAAAACAATGTCTAAACTTAATATTGATCATAACTTCTTTAGAACAAGCAACGTATATCTCCGCAAATCGCAATCACCTATCAACTAAAATATACAAATGTAGGTTAAAACGCATTGTCCGACCTTATAACACATCAAAATTTCTACTTTGGACAGTGAACAAATTTAAGGAAAAAATGAGGTCACGACCATAGAACTTCGAACCACATTTTTAATATCAAGATAACTGAGACACAAACTGGAGACTAGAGATTAGGGGACAACTGGACAATGGTACATATTAACATGTATAATATATTTTTCAAGTTTCAACAAGCAGAAATGCACTTGCATATCACAAATTGAAAAATGAACAGCAAATAATTAAATGGAAGGTCCAAATTAACAGGAAAAACTAAAGCTACATTCAAATCCACTTAATACAAGTTTGCTAACCTAGATGGAACTTGGAAGAAAAACAAATGTCAAACAAGTAGATGATAGATTTGTTACCTAGACAAAAAAAAAAATCACAAAATTAGCACATGAAAAGAAAATCCCAAAATATGAATTGCGATTTGACGATATCTTTGTGTCGATCGATTATTCATTTTCTTCTCTCTATGGGGTTTTAGGGCAATGGACGGTCGATCAAGACTCCAAATGCATATGAAATGACGAAAAACAAAGTTTTGGTAATGGGCAATTGGGCGTGGCAATGGACAAAGTTGTGGTTAATTTACATATTAAAAAAAAATGGCATCAAATTTGAATAATTTGCAAATTTTTCTTTTTTTAAAAAATAAATTTTTGTGGGGGTCAATTGACCCCACAAGACCCCATGTGGGTCCGTCTATGTTTATTGCTATGATATTTATGATTTGTTTTTGAATTCTTGAATAAATGTGAATATGATACCTTTGTTTAATAAAGAATATTTTTCAATAATTCCATTTTTGTTGTTTTCACTGTTTAAGGTTGGAAGTTAAATGTCCCATATGAAAAGTTAGATAAATTTGGGGACCTCAACTATAATTTTTTTTTTAAACATTTGCACATGAGTAAAAGTTTGATTAATCACTTAGCACAATGTCGCGTTGCGGTTACTAAACTTCATTTTGCTACTCAACGGTCACTGAACATACAGACGTACCCCTCTTTCCATCACCCACCATTTAATTATTTGAAACTATCTCATGCGTCTTGCGGCAGTCGACTTGGCAGCCTACGGCGTCAAAGTCAGCCATGTTGGACGCAACTTTATTCTGAAAAATACGACAATTCACAATGAAATCAAAACCCCTAACACCATTTCTCCCTAAATCCATTTCTCCCCAATTTGAACAAGAAGCCCTCGATTGATTTCCTTCAAAACCCTCTCCCAAATTCATTCCTCCACACTTGGCGATTGGCAAATCTTCGTCGCCTTCACAGCAATAACATTCAAAGGCGTGAACCCTACCCCCTAAAATTATAATTCCAACATCGTCTCCACGCCCTACCCTACAACGTGTGAAAGGAGTTTTGAAGAAGCCCGCATGGAGGGACCACAAGGAGGTAAAATAGCTATTTCTGGTCTATTGTTTTTCCTCTTCCCTGGACGTGGTATGGTTTTTACTTTGGTTAGTAAAATTAGGCAAACAGTGGCATATGTGTAAAGATTGATAGCTCTGATGCAAAGAAAAAGAAATTGAAATTTATGTTCATTGTTGATTTTCAGAGTTGAGAAGATCAGAATCTATGTATAGCGTTGTAGTTTAATAGAAAGTTTTATTTTTGTTCAAAGATTTTGTATTTTGAAAGTTAAAACAATTGTGTTGAAATTGAAATTCCTTTGGTTCATTTATTGATTTTCATTGTTAAGAAACATAGAATCTGTAGCCATATTTGATGGATATAATGTTCGAAGATGCTACATATCTAAAATCTAGAAAACTACTGTTGAAATTTTCCAATTGCTTGTTTGTGTGACAAATACTGAGGATGACACGGACATCAATGATTCGGAGAACGACATATCATTTGGAGATAATGATATGCTGTTCGAGAAAAATATACGATGGAATTGAGTTAGGTTGCGATGGGGTGGCAATCGGATGGGAAGAGCAACTTCTACGGGGTGTGCTGGAACATATAGAAGTTGAAGGCAGTAGCTGGGTTATGTGCAATAGTTAATGTGAATATGTGCTTATAGATGTTAGTATTGACACGAGCAGACGTGTAATTAAAAAATAGTTTTTGTGTTAGCATTAGCTGCTGGTATTGAAGGCAGCATGAACATGTTATTGCTTCTGATTTTTTGTTGTTTTGTCAAGGCAGCTTTATGTCCTGTTGATGGTATTTAAATTCTGTTGTAAAAAATGAATATGGTATTGATGCTGCTTTTTGTGAAATGAATTAATTTTTTTGGGATACTGTTTTGGAAATGTGTAGCCAAAATTATCATCACATATTTAACCTACTTTCTTGTTATTGCCTATAATAAGCGAACTTCATAAGCTACCTTAATCCCCAGCTCGTTTAGCTTCTAAAAGGCTCAACTGCATTACTCAAACAAGCCCTTTGATATCAAATGATTGTAAGCTACTTGCTGCAAGCATACAAGCAATGTCTTCACTTCCTTAACACCCATTTAACTGCCTTATACACAACCGACAGCAACTCCTACAACATCGACTGTGATGATAGGAAAGTTTAGCTTCAGTTGCTAGTATTGAAGGGAGCATGAACATCACAATAGAGGCAAATGAAGATTGATTAAATCATTAGAAAAAGGTCATGAGAAAAATTTTGATACACAACTAGTTCAAATCAAACAAACACAGGCAAATGGAGATTGTTCTTTAGAAATCACAACATCATGAAATCAAATATCAAGTATAGCATAGTCTTCAGTTAAACGAAACCAATAAACATGAAATTGGAAGCATGAATATATTTCCAACTTAAAGTACTTCCATCATCCAGACAAAGCCATCAAAAGCTACCATATACAACCATCCAAACATTCACATGAAATTCTAGCTAAAAAAATCAAGCAAAACATTATCAAAACTATCTGGACAAAAATCAAGGCCAAAAACCATCAAAATCCACCATACACAACCATGACAAAAGGTAGAAATTTCCTTTATTCATAATATGTTGGTCTATTCGCTGTTGGGCCTGGTCTTCCCTTGGTTGTGTGTGTGTGTCCTTATGAACTAAGGGGGTTGACATGAACCTTATTGGTAGTTCTTCAAATGCATTTTCAATCGACGTCGATCTCTTACCCCTTGACGAGACTAATTTGTCGTAGAATACACAACGAACGCAGCAAATGTCTTATTACAAAGAGCAAATGTACCGAATGAGGTAAAAAAGAACTTGATATTTACTCACTTGCTCGCTGACCACTACGTTGCAATTTGATTCAACTGGCTTTAATTCAGCTTCGAACCATTCCTGTTAGCAGAAAAAGAAAAGCTGCAACTTTTACAATTTGCACAATTAATAGTTTTTTTCCAAATAAATGAGTTTTTCAAGATATTACCTAAACAAATAAAGCACAAATGCCACTAAAAATTGAACATCATAAAATTCAAGTAAAATGGAAGCTTTATTATTTAAAAATTGCTAAATTTTAGTGAAAACTGCTGTAAGATTACATAAACAAGAAGAAAAGTTGTAGCTTTTAAAATTAGAACAATCAATAGATTTTCCCCCATAATTGCATTTTCAATATATTACCAAATTAAACACAAATTTGAGGAAAATTTGATCAAATAATTATGATAAAGCCACAGACGAATGCATTCCATCAAAAGCTACTAAATATTACAACACTCTCCCCAGGGGAAAAGGTAGAGAGGCAAAACGTGTAGGGAAGACAATTAAAGTTTCAATAAAAAAAAATAATGAAGTATTCCATCAATTGGAACTCCTGGGAATTCTGAACCAAAGCCACCTCGAATTCAATACTAAAAGCTGAAGGTTCATCAAAAAATTTGATCATCATACAGTTAAATAAAACAATAGATGATTCCTCCAAGTTGTCTCTCATTTACCAGCAATGCAATTTATAAACCTTTTTTTGGCTTGCTCGTATTTTGACATAAGATTTAGATGGCAAAATCATTGAAAATCAAATATGCCAAATGATTTACCTCCTTCCGCTCCATCCATGTGTGTGAATCAACACCCCTTCAGACGTGGTCAGGCTTCACTGATCAGAGGGATGAAGAAGCTTTCTCATTCCTACCACCCCCAGGAAAGAGAGAAGAATCAGACAACTAGCCGCTAAGAATATGCTTCATACGACCACATAATACGCTTCTCCATTCGCTGATGTAGCAGAGATGAAGCGAGGTAGTTTTCCTAAATTGATTTCTAAGGTTCGTTTGAGGTTTGGGAGGGATTGAATCTTGAGTTTTAGGAGGGATTTATAGGGTTCGTTTGAGGTTTGGAAGATTAGGGCTCGTTGATTTGAAGTGGGTTTTTCATTTTTAGGGTGAAATCGTTGTTTTCAGAGACACAACTCTTCACGTGGCAATGTTATGACTCCGTTTCTTGTCACTCCGAACTCCGTCTGGCCACCTGGGAAGCACATCAAACGGGTGAACGCGTAGTGATGGATGGAAGGGGTTTTGAGCAAGTTGAGTGACCATTCATTGTAAAAACAACGTTAGGTGACTATAACATGACAATAAGCAAAGTTTGGTGAGCATTCAAATTTTTTACTCATTTGCACATCAATATCATGTGACCTTGCATACTATAACCCAACGAGGATAAAGCTTGGACACCGTTGTATGATTGTAGCAACCCATCAATGCATTACTCGTGTGCCCTTGTATGTTATGCAACTATACCTATTTGATTGTATCATTATAAGCAGTGTTTTAAAAGACGACGCCTTGGCGTCTTGCTCAACCAAAACGTCAAGTCAAGTGACTTGGCATCTTATTTGGTGGTCAATGGCAATCGTTGATAGCTAAGGCACGCCTAAGCGCAATTATGGGCGCATTGGCACTTATTATCATCCTTTTTTATTTCTTTATTTTTAAATTTTGTGGTTTAAAAAAATTATCAATGGCTAATTTCTTCATTTTGCCCTAGTTTAAAACAACAACTTGTATTGAAAGACACAGAGGACGAATTAGATGAAGAAGAGGATATTGATTGGAGTCTGATAAAGAGTTAGATAAGATTTAAGTTCCAATACTATTTATTTACTATTTTGTATTTAAATTGAAACTTATCTTTTAATTGGAAATTCTAAAAAATGTATGACGTCCATATAAATCTATTATAAATGTTAAGTAAGTATTATTTTTAATTATTAAATAATTTTTGGATTTATTAAAATTAAAGTAAGAAAATGTTTTTTACGCTTAAGCCTCGTCTAAGCTCACATTGCCCATAGCTTGGCATTAACGTATCGCCACGCATTACGTCTTTTAGAACATTGATTATAAAAAATGTATAATTTTTTATTTATTAAATATAACACACAACCATAATGAAAACAGCTCATTTTGCCACAATCATATTTTGAATTTTCAAAATTTCTAACGCTTCTCTTCCACAGGGAAGAATTAGTCGTGGTTTCGTCTATGTTAATGGAAATCATATAAAAGACTAATGCTGAACATAGTTCGGTTCGATTTTAATGATAATCGAATCGGCCCCAAAATTTTTGATTATCTAGTAAGTGGAATTATCGGGCCCAAATTTAATTATGAAACTGTTCGGGTTCGATTCCATTCAGTTCAGTTCGATTCGATTCAATTCCATTCGATTTTCAAGTTCCGTATTATAATTAATTATTTTAATATTTACAAAGTTACATTAATTCAACTAATGATATATTCAATTTTAACTCTTACAAAATAACGTAGTCCAATCTTATGTGTCTTTTGCGTCTCTCTTTACTGAGTTTTTCATAGATTTAATTGTTAAAATTACAGGAAGAGGAAGATAGCGAGCTCAAAATAATTAAAAGAGACATTGTCGAGCTTCAATTTGATTTCTTCAGAACAGTAGAAACGGTATTACGATAAAGTAACAAATTCGGAAAAACTTAGGTCAATTTGATTAAATTGGCTTTAAATTGAAAATTAGAAATAGACAAATCATATTTTTTTGGTTTGAAGTAAATTAACTAGTTGCAATTTATTTAGAAAAAATAAATTAATTAAAAAATTAGAAAAATTCGGTTCTTATTCGATTCTTGATCTAGAACCGAGAATCGAATAAAAATCGTTGATTCTCGATTCAAATACCCGTTCAAGTATTTAACTTAAGAAGAATTGTTCAATTCAATTCGATTCAGGTGTTTTGTCCAACCCTATAAAAGACCCTTATCTTGTTCTAACTCTAAATATTTCAAGTAGAACGCATTGAAGATAATATTTTTTATTGTAAAACTATTATAACTACTTTTTTAGGCATTTATATATGATAAACGTTGTGTTATAGCATGTAAAATTCTTAAGTAATAAATATATTATAGGAATAATTGCAACAAAAACTCCAAACTTTTGAAACACTAATAGATTTTTTCGAAACATTTGATTCGTTGTAGCCATCACCTCAAACATTTTCTAACGTTGCAGGTGAAGCTCATTTAAATAGTTTCCATCTATAATTTCGTCGGTTAACAAAAATTTAATTTTGACCATATTTTTAATATTTTAAAAAGGAGACAAAAGAGTAACTTTCTTTTTATCATACTAAAAAATTAAACTAATTAAATTAAAAAAATAAGAAATAAAACAAAAGAAAACACAATTGTCTTCTTCCTAGCCATCTTCTGCTTCCACCGTTGTGTCAGCACATCAAACACGGCCACCACAAACTCCTTTAATGCCAGCATCCCTATCACATTCATCGGAAAAAAAATTAAACATAATTCTAATAAATTATATATTCAATTGATCATGCATAGCTCTGAATTTAAGTTGAAAATTGAAGAATTATTTACCTGTGCATTCACCAAAATCATCTCTGGAGAGCAAGCCTTCTTTAGCCATGGCGTCGAATCGAGCCTTGACTTATTTCCACAGTACATAGGAATCTGATTCGCTAGTGTTTTTGCTAATGAATCTTAGTCCATCAAGAGCTCTCGATTTATTCCTCACAAGCTTGGCTTTCATTTTCATCAGCTTGTGCACCAATGTTTATCTTCGCCACGTCGGCAGCTGAAGTCCTCGACGATCCTGACCTCGACTAACAAGAGTTTGAGACACAACTTCTATGATGTCGAGGAACTCCCTTTCAAATATCCATTTATTGCTGAGGTCATTGGGACATTATTGTTATGAGGGATGTTATATGTGTTGGTTAATGGATTTAATCATCACAATAGGAAATTCATTTTCTTTTGAAAATTAAAACTATATGAATAAAAGGATATTAGTAATCTTGAGATCATTGGATTATAAAAATCCTTATACATAGAAAGGGGGGATGATAACCTTTTGAAAGAACTTTTAATAGCATAGCTAATTGCTTCCTCCCTTAGATCTTTTCCCTTGTTCTCACTAGATGTATTTCCTTTTCAAGAAAGTGGAAAGTGACTAACCATAATTCTCATATAAAATATGTGAATAAAGTGCATATTTATAATGCCCTATTAGGGTTTGAAAATTGCACAAATTTTCTTGATCTTTATTATAGTAGACCAATTAAGTCACACACCTTTTATTGGAGCCAAAAGAGGGACCTAACCGGACTCACATGACTCAAACTCCAATAGATGTTTCCAATTAGGTCAACTCTTGACCAATTGAGATACATCTATTAATCTCAGTTTATTCTACCAAAAAATCGAGATCGCATTCTCGAGTCGAGTGATGGTTATATAAGCAAATTATGATCTAATAACATTATCCTCTGATTATCGTTCCACAAATTAACCTTCATTTGATCGCTAATATGTTGAAACTGGCAAAATAATCATTTTTGCCCCTTAAACATGTATTACCCTCTAAGTACCCTTTTATACTACAAATTCGTTGTGATCAAATCACAATGTAAAGTCTAACGATCTCATCGTCGATCTACTGAGCTCAGGTTTAATTTGCCTAGGAAAATACTTTACAGTGACAATCGTCTCATCTCAATGATTAAAGGATTCCACTATTGTAAGTATATGATCTCTAATTGTTTCGACCCGATTCTCAAAGTACCGAGATCAATCTTCTATTTAAGACTTCACTCATTGGTACCTCAAAAAACTTGAATTAGCAATCAAAGGTACATTACTCACTCATGATTTAGGTGGCCTGTTTGATAATCAAGTAGAGTCTCATTTAAAAGGGTTCAAATGAGTCATCTACGCGGTTTCGTTCAATGTGTATCGAAACACATTATTGTTCTTATTTCATGATTTAGACAAATTTTAATAAAAATAATACAATCTTATCAACATAAAGCGTCCAACTTTATGTATCGATTGTGAACAATATAATTTTGATCACATCACGAATTGTATCTTACTATACTCAATCCATCGAGTATACAATTTGTAACATCTTATATGATAATGGAACCTTAGATAATCACTTCAAATTGTTACACACAAATAGACGAACGTCAATTCATAATGTGATTTTGCAGAACACTACTCGAAAAATGGGCATCAAACTAACAATCTCCCACTTGCCATTCTCAGAGTATGTGTGACATATTAAGAATACACATCCCCTTAAGATGCCCATTAAAAGCCTTAGCTGGTAAGGTCTTAGTAAACGGATCCGCAAGATTATCTGCTGATGCAATATTACTAATCGTCACGTCTCCTCGATGAACAATCTCTCTAACAAAGTGATAATTTCTCTGAATGTGCTTGTCACGTTGATGACTCCTGGGTTTTTTAGCATTGGCAACCGCCGCACTATTATTGCAATAAAGCGTTATGAGCCCCACTGCCAAAGGTACCACGTTAAGGTCCAAAAGAAACTTCTTGAACCATACAGTTTCTTTAGGAACTTCACAAGCTACAACATATTCTGCCTCCATGGTGGAATCAACAATACAAGATTGTTTGATACTCCTCCATACCACAGATCTACCTCTCAGTGTAAATAATGATCCTAATGTAGACTTCCTAGAGTCACGATCGGATTGAGTATATCCAATAGGATTAAGATCATGTCCTGAATAGACAAGCATATAATCTCTCGTTCTTCGAAGATACTTGAGTATATTCTTCACCGCTACCCAATGTTCTGGTCTTGGATTAGACTGATAACGACTAACAATACCCACAGCATAATAAATATCCGGTCTAATGCAAAGCATAGCATACATGAGACTTCCCACAGTCGAAGCATTAGGAACCTTTTTCATGTAATCTATCTCCGTTGCATTCTTGGGACAATACTCCTTAGATAGATGAATTTCATGTCTAAAAAGGAAGTTGTCCCTTTTTGGAATTTTACATTACAAATCTGGACAATATTTTGTCAATATATGAAGCTTGGGATAATGCAATCCTTCTCCTTTTCCTATCTCATAAGATATGAATTCCCAAAAAATAACTAGCTTCTCCCAAATCCTTCATATCCAACAACTGTGACAACCACTTCTTTACAAATGACAATGTCCCTACATCATTTCCAATGAGTAAAATGTCATCTACATAAAGAATCAGAAAAACTACTTTCTTCCCCTG